ATCGGGCACAATTCCAGACTTCGTGCTACTACTGAGAATATTTAAAAACCCAGTAATACTTTGCCCGACCCGGGAATCGAACCCAAGAGCCCGGCAGTCGCACTTACGACCACTCGGCCACGAGGCAGTTTTTATTGTGATATTATTTTTTATTAGTCTGCAGTGAATTTATTCTTTTAAATCAGTTTAAAATCAACAGCCAGATTTGATTTAACCACCGATATCGATTCAGAACTCATAAATACTACAAAGTTTAATTCTCGAAGAAGATACCAGAATTTATTTCTTCCTACAATTGAGCGCACATAAATATTTTAATTACTTTATACCAGTCTATTCCGGAGTCTTGGATCCATATTTACTACGCATTGCTTTGTATCGCATCCTCCCTAAGGGTATTGGACCGTAAACCATAGCTTGTAACTAACCCTTACAATGTTCCTATTTCCTACTGTTTCCGACCTAGTTTTTATCTCTTTGCAACATTTGTAAGTCAACTAAGGAAATTGATGGCTGCCTAGGTCTTTAGGTGAAAGCAGTTGAGGTAATAAAGTAACTTCTAGACTATTTACTCGCATCCTTACATTTTTGGTAGAAATGGCAAATTCTAGATTGTTTTTTTATATGGAATGGGAAGTAAACTAGCAGATGGATCACCTGATGGTAAACGATCAGTGCCGCCTATGGACACTCGCAACACCGGAGGAGTCACAGGTGCGTTGCCGTCCTTTTAAGAAGGAGTTTTTTATTTTTTTTAAGGGGGGAAAATCATCGAATGACTGCGAATCGAATTTAAGAAAGAGTACGCTCTTTTCTTGAAGCTTTGAATGTCGTATTGTTTTGGAAATACCGCCGACGACAGATCATTCCACAGTTTTGCTGTTTACTTTATTCATAGGGGCTTGGAATTATGTGCCTAATTTTGTTTGGCTCGATGTATGGTTGTTACATTATTATTATGGTTTAATAAACCACAATAGTTATTCATAATTAGACGCCTAATTAATTAGAATAGTTGAGTAATCATGGCTACTAATGGATATAGTGTAAACTTTAATGAGCGTTTAGAATGTAGGTTGAACCATGACCTTATTTTTATAGGGATGTAAAATAATGTAAAATAAGTTAATGTAAATAGTTTAGATGTATGCTTCCTTTTCGATGCATGTAAAAAAATATAGAAAAGGCTTAGAACACAAAATCTTACCACTTACACAGTTCCAAAAGACAGTTTCAACGAACTAACCTCCGGAGCTACTGATACATTTAAATTTTTTGTTATATCGGCTATTTATCGAAGTATGTTATAGGCTATAACACATCGATAGGAGCAGTGCAGAGCAATTAAAACCGTGAGAGTAGCTAGTAAAGCAATAAATCTAATTACTAAATAGTACAAATTTAATACACTCCGGTCTAACAGAATCTACGATATAAAAGAATGAGTTCACTCGAACTGCCGTTTGTACAAGGAACGGCGACATTCGCTTTGAAATTCAAATTTTTAAACGCATGTTTCATAAAGCGTACTTATCTGTATTCTCTTTGCATAACTCCATTGTCCAACTAGAAATATTCGTTTTAACAATATTACTTCTGCACTGGACAAACAATTACTCCAATACTAAAAAGTACAGTTTTCAATTTACTTCGAACGATTTTTAACGTGTGCTGTTTTAGCAATTATTTTTGCTGACGTTGAGAAGTTGTCGGTTTTGTTATTTTCAGTAATGGTATTATTTTTAGTTTCATATGAGTTATCCAATTTCATTACGGTTTATTTGTAAGACTAAGGGGCAAGAATCATGATTACTTTATTATGAAACAGAAAAACAATTTGTAAATAGATTTCGCGTTGAAATAAACTGTTTTATAAGCCGTCTATGTCTGTATTGAGTAACTGTTATCCAAATAGCGTATTTTCTGTTACGTAATTACACTTCTGAATACGTATGTATATTTTTAAATAATACAATAATCTTAATTATTCCGAAAACCGTAATTTAAACACAAAATATAATATTATTATTTCTTACAATCGTAGTATAAATCGATACAAATTCAATAATGAATTGATTGAACCACTGTTCCTATAATTGTACCAATCGCGCTATGAAAGTGAATTGCCCCAAAAATGATATAGCGGTATTACAGCCGGTTACGTGACATAAATACAAAATACTCATTTCACTGTTAATATTAAGAGTAAAGAGATATTCTATAAGCCTTAATTATAGTAAATTAATATTTTATAACTTCAGTGGACATGACAGTAAATGAACGCATTAATACAGTCACAAAAACGGAAAAAGTTATTATGATTTCGAATGCTCTAGGGCAAATATATGCTGTTTATCTTAAGCACTTCGTAAACAGGCCATCTAAAAAAGCAAAAGATTTTTACGGGCTTTCTTAGTGCCTATATATTGTAGGTATTTGTTCTGTTTAACTATTTTTATACAACCAAGACCCACACAAAATATACTTCTGTAAACAAAAATGTTTCCTTTCTTCGCTCTAAAAAGAACTCCAAAGATCATAGCCAACTAAAACAATATCCAACTAGATCATCGATGATATAACATTTACGTGGCAAAAATATCCAATATCCATTTTATTAGCAGTAGCTATCCAAAAATGCTACATTCACATTTACACCCTTTTCCGACCATTTGGATTCAGTGAACGGAATCGCTGTAAATTTCCGAGTTATTAGAATTATATTGGTCCCTATAAGGGATTATTAAGTGTCCTTTTGCCTGTTCGAGTAATAGAAAAACGATGTACTGATTAGACGATTTTCGACGGTATTTTTCGGATTTTCCGTCCCCTTGTTTCCGGGTTTGATGCAGCTTTTATTTATTTTTTCATTTGAAATATCCATTGTTTTGGTGTCGAGTGCTGCAAATCTCTTGGGGTCTAATAATGGGTTTATTATTTAGATGTAAATTTTTTAATACTTTTTGTTTAAATCGCGGATCCATCATTATACTTTTTTATGTTTTGGATGCTTTTACAAACAATATAATTTCACATGTAAATAACACAAAGAGCAATTTCAACCGAAAATCGACTTCATGCAGCATCTGGTTGCTCAACAACTGTGTTACCGATCATTTTACCTTTAAGTAACAATCGATTGGTAAATACTTTCAGTCGCGAAGTAATAAGTATAAATGGCAATAAAAAACAAAGAAAACACTACACTTTTCGTTGCATGTACATAAAAGTCCCTTTCCGGGAGCATTCACGTGTAATGTAACATTATAGATTCGACTTTAAGCATTATATTATAATAACACCTTCCTGACTAACGAGCATTTGCGTGTACTTAATGTAACACATTGTCGCAGAGAACCTAACGGGTAACTGGGGCTCCGGCTCGACGTGCAGGAGAAGGAACGGGGTGGTTTTTAGATAGTAAGAGTCTGACACTCCCTCCCGCCTCACCCAGGCGGGAGCAGTCATTCGATGATTTTCCCCCCTTAAAAAAAAGGAAACACATTGATTCGACTTTGAGCATTTCATAGCAAAATGTCAGACGAAGTGAAGTGCTGGGGCAAGTAATGTATCAAGATATTTCACATTGTATCATTACATGATGCGCATTGTAATGCTCGGTTTTCCTCCTTCACGGATGTAATGCTCAGATCTGTAACGTAACATTACACGCGAATGCTCCCGGTGAGGGAGCATCTTTAAAACAGTAATATTAAAATAATGTATATTAGTACTGATCATTTACAACTACCTTTATCCGTCAATCAAATCTCACCTGCCTAATGACTGTTTAGATGTTCATTTCAACGTTGTCACACACTATTACCAATTAATAATTTGAAACTCATTTGGATTATGTACGTTTCATGAATTAAATTACATTTGGAAAGCGGTTGTAAGCTCTCTGAGGGATTACTGTGGTTTGTGTTTAGAAACTACTTATTTGTAAAGTTAGTCTTGATTGGAATTCCTCACTAAAGAAGACGAAATTTTTATTTGAACGATGCTTTTTAACTATTGTGTTACAAAAACTTAATATCGTACAAATAATATTCTGAAACAGGGGTTGCTATCAACCAAGTCTTAATGTCAACATTTTATTAATATGATGATGATTCCATAATGATCTGTCGTCGGCGGTATTTCCGAACCGATACGACCTTCAAACTTTCAGGAAAAGAGCGTATTCCTTTTAAAAGGCCGGCAACGCACCTGTGATTCCTCTGTTGTTGCGGGTGTCCACGGGCGGCGCTGATCGCTTACCATCAAGTGATCCGTGTGCCCATTTGCCTCCTATTCCATAAAAAATTACGGTTGTTGAGTTTTCAGATGCATTCATCATGCATCTGTACGTAAATTGACGATACAAACACACAAAGCAAATACAATAAACCAGTTTTTTTGATTGTTATAAAATAAAATATTCAAAATGGCTTTACTTTATTAGGAAACCATAATAAGAAGAAAAAAGCATACATACGGTCGAATTGAGAACTTCCTCCTTTTTTGAAGTCGGTTAAAAAGGAATTGAAAGCCAAAATAAAAGAATCAAGCTATGAAGTAAGGATTAAGGTGCACTTATAATTAACTGGCATTTTAATTCCTTTCAATAAAACACGTCACGATTTGAAAATAGCTTGTTAATCTTTGCAAAAAATAAAGTAGGTCACGGAAAGGGTGACGTTGATGCTTGTCTAAGATTTTTTGGATTAATTCATTTAGAATGAAATGTTGTAACTGCGGGTTAAGATAAACACAATTATGAATTTAAAAATGATAATGAACATTAATACTACGTCTCTATATAATTATGATTCTAAGAATAATAGTTCTTAATTTTTATTTTTTTAACACGAAAATATTGTAAGAAAATGCAATACTACTTTTAAATATACCATTCAAAATATACAATGACACCATTATCTATTTACAATCAAAACACGTTAAATCTGATCTGAACAAACACGTTGTCCTAACGTAATCACTTTCGCTTGTTACAGATCACAATGGGGAGACGAATCGCCGGTGTAATCTACATATTGATCACTTTCGCTCTCGTTAATGAAATGTCAATAAACGTATACGCCAGGGACAACAACAAAAGGCGCACCAAAGAGAAGAGCGGAGGCTTCCAAAAGAATATTTGCGATATCACAGACCGAGATTCAAAAGTTCACTGCTACTGCGAAAATACTAGGGAACCAAGGAATGCGACCAAAGCGGAATGTTGGGTGTTCAACGGCGGAATACCGCGCGACGACCTCATCTGGCAGAGTTTTGCGTCCCAACCAATTTTGCAAACTTTGTCTTTTAACGTCCGAGTCGATGGCGCTCTTGGCTATATACCTACAAAGGCACTACTCTATTTACAACGTCTGAGGTCAATCAATATAAAATATGGTAACATTGTCGACGTAACACCTTACTCATTTGCCAACTTAACTAATTTAAAAGAAGCTAGCTTATCGCAGAATCAAATCGAAAATTTACAACAATACGCCTTTGCTCACCTACCCAACATAACAACTCTGAACTTAGAAGAAAACATGATTATAGATATCGATACTGAGGCATTCTATGATCTACCAAAGCTCCAAAAATTGGTGTTCACCAAGAATAATATTTCGACAATCAGAAATGGTACTTTCCAGCACACGTTCAATTTGCTGGAATTGGATTTGAATAAGAACAACATTTACCATTTGAACCGTCGGACATTCGACGGATTGGCGAATCTGAGGAAATTGGATCTGAGAAAGAACCGAATACAAAATTTGACGGAATTCACGTTTGCTGAGCTGTGGAATCTACAAGAATTACTATTGGGGAAGAATGATTTGCGGTATATATCGGAGCGGGCGTTTGACGGACTGTCTCAACTACGAAAGTTGTCCCTCGATGACAATAAACTGGCGTCACTCCCGTCGGGTTTGTTCGAAGGGGTGAGGGGACTTAGCTCTGTGGACTTGCGATCCAACGAACTGCACGCGTTAACTTTTGACAATATCAAGCCTATATTGGACAACTTGAAACCACAGAACAGCAATCTACTACTCGAAGGTAATAATGAATACATAATACTTCCTCATGTCGAGTTCCATGAACTTAAAACACCCGATGAATATTAAACGTGCGGAAACTGAGACGTTATTATTAACTTTAATACACTTGAAAAGTTTGTTCTTTTATAATACCTACGGGTGTTCTTAGTCGAGTTGGAATGGCCCACATAGAAGTGGAAAATGTTGTATAACACCTTAAAATACTAAATTAATTTTTAATTAGTATAAAGTGGCTGACTCTAGGCTGTTCACTAAAAGTTTTCCGTTTTAATGTCCATTGTCCAGTAAATTTTCATATATTAAAATAGAAAGTAACTTTATTTTGCTAACTGAACTTTATTTGTTTCTTTTTCAGAGAACAACTTCGTATGCGACTGCAGATTAAAATGGATGCATTCTCTGCGAAACGAAACAAAAAGTCAAAACACAAAAGAGTCCCTAGACAGCGTAACGTGCAAAATGGATCCACCTATCGTGAGCTCCGCTTACAACAAAATGCCTGACGCTATGGACGACAAACTGGATTACAATCAAGACATACTCCACGCCGGCTTGACCATTGAAACACTGAACGACAAAATGAACGTAACGGAAAAGAAGACATTACCCGGCGACCTATCTAAAGACGATGCTAATGAAATATCTAAAAAGGGTGTTAAAAGGACTGTTTTGAAAATCCCAGCCGAAACCCTTCCGTGCCCAAGGGAAGCTATAAAAACAACTGAAATACCACCTTATATTGTAGACCCTGTAATACCAATTCAGAATGAAATGAAAACTTTTAGATTTCATGACACCAACTCCGCTTATATGAAGTTGAGGCCTAGTTTTGGCTCTGTAGTTTTATGGAGTATTTCTTTTAGATTTTTCTTTACTTAAATAATAAGTAACGTATCTAGTCGTTAAAGTAAGTGAGATACAGACTATTAAGCCGGCGATTGATGGCTGCGCACGGGTATAATGACTAACACTTTGCTAAGTCCTGTATGAGATAAACAAGGAGATTTATGAGTATGGAAAGAAACGTAATGTATTAAGATGTTTAAGAACAAGAAAACAAAGGTGACGCAAGATAAGTAAGTGATGTTTGAAAAACAGGGTCAATTTCTTTGGGATATGTATGGAATTATAAATTCGTAGTGGATTAAAATGGGATGTAAATATTTGTAATCTCTAAATTGAAATTGAATGGATTTTCAATCGACTTAGGAATAATTTGCACCTTTGAAATACATTATTATTGTCTCTCAATAATTCTTAACTGATGCTGATTATGATAATATTGATAGTTTCAAATTAGGATTCGTATAATGTATGAGCTCTTCAGAAGCTGCTGCCAATCGGTTGGCAGAATATGTGAATATGTAGTATAATATTATACTGGTTTGTGAACTTGTCAAAACAAAAGAAAAATATAAATTGTTCTGATAATATAATTGTAATTTTTAGTCAGCGGTATAATCTTAGTACCCGCATGCTAATCTATCACGTAACCTAATTGAAATAAAGTAGACATTGCAAATGAAAGTAGTCTATCCGTACGCAGCTATCAAAACTATATCACTACACGTTTTAACATAGGCCAACTTTTATTACAGGCATTTAATTTCTATGAGCACACAGTATTTAATGCAAACAATAAAGTGTTTATTCACGGTATGAATGTTGTAATATAACGATAATGTTAAGTAGATCTAATGTATAAAGCTCTGTTTTAACGCACTCGAATTTTCAATCATTGAACATTGTTTTATGGGAAGGGATGTGAGCATGAACTATTTGTATTGTCTCAAGAAAAAATCAGCTTACGTGTCATCTAATTACCAGTAGGAACAATCAAATATGAATGTCCAGTCATATCTGTAAAAAGGTTTATGAGAATGAAATGTTTGATTCTCGACTCTCTTATAGACTGTTTAAAGAAAATCATCAACAGTCCATAAGTGCCCTCTGCTGAGCAAAGCCTCTTCTCTCAGGGAGAATGTTTGAGCATTAATCACCACGCTGGCTCTTTGCGGGTTTCAAAATTATAAGTAGAAATTATAAGTCCAGGTTTCCTCACGATGTGTTCCTTTACCGTTTGTCACTAAATAATTTAAAAAAGTACATATAACTCAGAAAAAGTCACATTGGTACTTGCCGTTGGTAGATTTCGAAACCGCATACTCAATAAGAGGCGAGAAGCGGGCGTCTAAACGTCCCGGCACGATGACATTTAAAAGATATAATTATACCTACATTTGATTTTCATAATAAGATTATACCACTGTTAGTTTCGATCTTTCATCTTAGTATTTTTTTTCTAAGAGTAGGTATAATCTTTTTTATTGAGACAAGCCCACTACAACCTTCAAAAACCGCTGGAACTTCTGCAATCCAGGATCTACAGATACAACTATGAATACACCGGAACACTGAAGTCCGGCGCGACCCAGGGACATGAATAACTGTCTTGGATCCCACAAGGAAATAATAATCAGAAGGTATTATAAGAGGAGAAGATAAAAACGATAGTTTCTACTTTCATCGGTGACGAACAATCATAAAATCATTTGTCATGTTTAAAAGTTATTAGTAACTCGTTAGTATTTTGCTAATAATATTATCGTCTTGATGATAACGTCCAAGTTAGTTTATTATTGATAGAATTAGTGGCTACGTAACTTAATAATTAATTCCATTATCGCTGCCGATGCTAAGCTGCAGCTAACACAACATTGTTAACGAATTATCGGAGGAGCAAATAATTATGTTCAAGTTATCCAAGTTATTTAGTATACAGTGTCTGATGAGAAAATAAGATGCTGTTACTAGGGTGTACTACAGTGTATGAAAATTAATAATGTAACTAGTCTGTCAGTTAGATAATGAAAAAATAGACACATATATATATATATATTTTACCCATATGAAATTATTCACTCGGAAAAGAGTTTCACTCCTTAATATTTTGTTAAGATTGGTCGGATCGGTTATCAACTCAAGTAAATATATCTTTATTTTGTCACTTACATACTAAATATCTTGTCTATCTATAAATTTAGTACTCATAGTTACTTCAGCATTATTTTATTCAAACCTATCATTTTTAATACGCTTTTATTGCTATAAAACATAGAATTGAAAATAGCTTGACATTAATAATAATCAGTATTGCTACTAACTATTAATCAGTGAGCTTGATTAAGGTAATCCGCTGATTAACGTATGTAATCAACAATTAGGTTTTGCTAGATCGAACGATGACTAGATAACTATTGGCATACTAAATTGGCGGTTATCGAGAACTATTCAAAATAATAGATAAACACAAATTAAAACCAAACCAATTAAAACCAACTCTACTGATTATCATACTGTGTTGTTTTGATTCCAATAAACTACATTTTTTTAAATCTTTGTAAAATTATCTGAATACCCTGCGGTCATTCACAGATCATTACCGGACTGGATGTGGCACCGTTCTCAGTCCGCATTTTGCATAGATCTCTGTTATATTTGGCACATTGAACACCTCGCGTCGGGGCACAATCGGATGGAGTCGCTTCGCAATGCGTTTAGATCTGTGTCGTATCCAGCTGGTTTAAATGGTGGACTAAATTTATTTTTGGTAGCTTTTTAAATAAGAATAAAATTGACTTTGTAGTTAGAATCAATTATATTAAGACAACGACCAAAAATGTTAAATTGTTTTCGAGAACAATGTCTACGTACCCGATTTAGTTGGAAAAGAAATTAAGAAAAAACATTCCGACCCGAAATTACTGGATAAGATAATGAGAGGAAAAATGATGGTTTTATAATCCTAATCTAAATTAAGGTTTAAAGTTACTGTTATTTTACTATTATGGACTATCTCTAAATGCCTCGAGGGGGCAAGAAAAAGAAAAGAGACAGCTATATGCGATTGCAGATGAACCATATAGATAGAAAGAGACATAAAATCGAATGCACGGAGGCAAATTGGTTTTATGTCGCAAATAAAACAAAGTATCTTTAGTAGTGATTAAATTTGAGTGCTGGCTTTGGGTTCCTTTATATTGGATTAGTGTTTGGGGAAAAAGAAGGGAAAGAAGTAATTACAGGCAATGTGCGGGTAGTCTTTGATAAAGTTCGTTTTTGTTGCTAATAAAATAGTAATATCAAATTTAATATTATTTAATATACTTGTTGTTATGATACTGTATGTAGGGGTAAAATATGTATGATATAAAATATATTAGAAGATTTCTGTCCTTTCTGAACGTGGATGTTGACAGTAGTCCAGTACTTTTTATTCTTAACTTGTTTTACGTTGATCTACAAACAACCCAGTCTTGCATTGTGACTATGTAAAATTTAATCTATTTTGATACGTTTCTCTATCGCAATAGGAACGATGCGAACTAGCAAAATGTATCAACCAATTCCAAGATGTTTTCCTGTTACCTAGTATAGGGTAAAAGGTAAACCATGAATATTGAAGACATGCTCACACCCCTTACCCCAATTCTCATGTACTTTCATCTATTGTGTATAACGTTGTATAAAGTATTTTGACAAGGCATTTTTTGTATGAATAAAAAAATAATGGTGTAAATTTTTTTTAAAGCAATCTCGTTTTATTTTCAACCCTTGTGTTTATGGAAATCCCTAAGCCTGGTCCTGATGGAGGTTGGAGATTGCGGTAAGAAATATGCTATTCAAACTCAAGGTCGTGGATTCGATTTCCGTGGCAGAACGTAAAAAAGACGTAAATACGTTCATTCATACTCTGCTCAAGTATAAATTGAGTATAAAGTTTGGTATGTGGGTAAAAAAATGTTATGTACCTATCTATTCGGTTCGTAATATTTTTCATAGAATAAATGTATTTTATAATCTCCTGATTATAATATAAATTTACGAATAACTCAGTTAATACATTAGTTGCAAGTGACAAAGAACTAATTATAGAATATTCATAGATTATGATTGCTGTTAGCCAGAATTTCGAAATTTGAAATCATAACAATATAAAGGTAAATGCTGGTATACTAAAACGTTACTCAATTTTAACATCATAACATAACATAACATCACGCCTTTTATCCTCGAAGGGGTAGGCAGAGGTGCACATTAGACCACTGTACAATTTAACACCCACTTTTCACTATTTATGTTATGAGTCCCATGTAATAGGGGGTGAGCCTATTGCCATATACCGGGCACAGTTCCAGGCTCTGTGCTACTACTGAGAATTTTTTTAAAACCCAGTAATACTTTGCCCGACCCAGGAATCGAACCCGAGATCCCTTGCTCGGCAGTCGCATTTGCGACCACTCGGCCAACGAGGCAGACTTAATTTTAAGTCGTGCTTAATATCGTGCTGTCTCTGTCATTTTACAAAGAATATGTAGTGACAAAACTATGCTTAAGCGCGACTTAAAATTGAGTAACGTTTCAGTATATCATAAATCTGGTAAAGATTTGATGAATATAATCGTCATAAGTATTTAATCCTTACTATTTAAAACAAAATCTGAGCGAGTTTGTTTAAATGCCGTTGTAGCCCGAAGGAAGAGACGCTACGACGCTCCCTTTGTCATGCATGAGGGTGCGGGTTCGAAACCTACCAACGGCAAGTACCAATGTAACTTTTTCCAAGTTCTATGTAGGTACTTTCAAAGATTATTCAGACACCACTAGCAAACGGTAAGACAGGAAGTAAAGGAAAATATCGTGAGGAAACCTGGGATTATGGTGTCTAATCAATACATAGTATAAAACAAAGTCGCTTTCGCTGTATGTCCGTATGTATGCTTAGATCTTTAAAACTACGCAACGAATTTTGACGCGGTTTTTTTTAATAGATAGAGTGATTCTTAAGGAAGGTTTGTATGTATAATAAATGCATAATATAGTAGAGAAACACTGATAAATTTAAAGGTTTCTAATGTGATGTCGTAAATAAGCACGTTTTTTTGCGCTTATATTGCAAACGCTGGCTGAACCCTACGAGATAGACCAAAATAATGTACTACAGTATTGTTCACCTTAAAAAGTTCAACAAAAAAGTCCGCGATGGTATATGTCTATCTCTTAGGGATAACCCAGCATAACCATTTTTATTCTTTACTAAAAAATGGTCTTATCCATTTAAGTACCTTAAATAAATTGTGCATTTATTATAGATCAA